GAGAAGAATAACATGGTTCAGGAAGTCACATTTGATATATTTCTGTGAAGCTCATTACATAGGCCTACACAAATCATTTTTCTTATTTAACTAGTGAGCAACTAACATACCCAAGATTTTGTGTCTCTATTATTCAATTTGGCAGTAGCACAAATAGCTCACACTGGTTTGCATAGTATACTGCTAACTTAGCAATCTAATTACTTAAATAGTAACTTAAGTCTCTTAAATTACTCTTATTCTCCATTTTTGTCTCTTGTTCTCTTTGATAATTCCTCATATCTTTCATTTCTGAGGCTTCTCTTTTCTACATTTTCTTTAAGCCTTTGGGAATTCAGCAGTGGGCATGGACATCTGCTGAGATAGGTTTTTGTTCAAAGTGGAAAGTGCCAGTAGAGTTCAGCATTCAACTTCCTAAAGTTTAACCCCTTCAACTGATCATGTGAAGAAGCCAAAACTCCAAGTGAAAGTGTTTTCTCCTCAGTACTTCCTTCTTAACACATCATCTTGGATTAGTTATAAACCTGCTCCTCTTCTACCCACCCCTTTTCACTACTTGCCTTTTCCCTTTTTCTTCTCACCCATCCCTGCCATGAAAATGTGATTGAATATGTCTGAATATGTGATATGAAATTTGCCAATGAAAGTATGATACCTGTATGCATGGGGACTCTATCACCAAACTTTCTAGTCACCCTAGTCTATTTTTCATTCTTTCCTCAATTGCTAATTAAGTTGTCTCCAAATGACCTTAAAAATACATTTCAGGGCACAATGTTATGCTAGTTTGGAGGGAGAAAAAGAAGGAAAGCTAAAGTTACAAGAATTCTTCTTTTTCTATCTCCTATCCATGAAGGAGGAAGCTTTAATAAATGAGAGGTAGATGTTCAAAGTCAATATTCTCAATAAATCAACTCACACCATGGGTTGCAGGATTTGTAAGAAAAATAGAACCTTATATAATTCCAATAATTGTCTTACCCATGTTTACATAGTAAATAGAATAACTAGAACCCCAAAATGCAAGGTGCCAAAGTTAATGGTATTCTGAGTACACCAAGGTGCTTTTTATTATCTTCAAACTGGAGAAAATCCCCTCTCTCTCCACCCATAGAAATGTTCTAATAACAAGTGTAAGTGAAGCTCCATCCCGCCCCCACTTTGATCAGAAGCTTATCTTCTGAATCAGCTTAATCTTTCATCAAACCACTTCTCTGAAACTGAGGAAAGACCAGAAGCTCATTTTTTTAAAAGATATACAAAAAGAGTCCTCTTTATAGATAGATAGTGTAGTATATGGGAAAACATTTAGTCTTGGACTAAAAGGTCTGGTTTTTAGTCTGGTCGTGCATTGGTGTGCAAATTAGTTTAGGATAGATTAAAGATTTGAGAATTCTAATACCTGACTACTTTTTGCACAAGTTATTGTGAGAATCCAAATATTTACACACATATTAACTGAGCATAGTTCACCTATTTGGCATCAGGTTAAATGACAATTTAGAGTAATGATGGTAAATAATGTTAGCTATTATTATGAAGTGTTCCAACATGGTTTTCAATTTTCATTTTCAAACCATCACTTTAATTCTATGCTTCTATTTTTCTCTTGCTATTCTGCAGCTCCTTTATGTTTGAAGTTATTATTAAAAAAGGAATAAGATTTTATATCTAATAAGGTATTCTCTGATTTAGGTCCCAGATAGTGCAGTTTTCAGTCCATGTAATGTACTGGCTTATGATGTCTACTGAGAGTTACTTGAAGAAGAATTCATTGAGGAAGTTAGGTTTCAAAAAGTCCCCAGGATGGATGGACACACACACACACACACACACGCCTACTACAATTAAGAAAACACCTCTAATTTTACAGATAATTAATCAATCATTAACTATAATTTACAGGAGTCAGTCACTTCCAATTTTATGGAAAAATTAGTGCACTTTGCCAAAAATCTATTTTTATGGTAAATACTTTTGATTTCTTATAAAATTTCTCTAAAATCTTGAGGTGAAAGTAGCTTGGGTTTTCTCTTTATGAAGATTTAATGACATTATCAAAACTGAATTCAAGTAGTAATTTATAATCAAGACTAATGAAACTATACAAATATATTTTAATTGATATTTTGCAATGTTGTTTTGGCATGGTTACCCACCGATATTCTCATTCTATTAAAGACTATTTTTATATCTAGTGGAGAGATAGTAGGCATTCACAGTGGGTAGCTCAAAGTGATCATTCTATAGTAATCCCAAAGTGAATTTTAAGCCTAATTGTTCTGTTACCAGAACTTTAGCTTTGTAGAATCTCTGAAAAGTCTCAGATGTGTGATATGATGGACCACATATTACCACAAAAACTTTTTTTCTGATTTAACAAAATATTTCAAACTCCTGCGAAAAGCATCCCCTTTCCCAATTTATTTTAATGCAAAGTTTAGGAAAGGTCACCACCTAGGACTAGGTGCCATTAAGTCCCTATTCATACATGTCATCTGAATAGCTTCATGATCTCCAATTTTTAAGACATAAAGTGTCCCCTAGGGGGAGAAAAAAAAGTACAGCACTGTTCCACTAATTACAAACATAACAGCAAGCTAGGATTCCCAAACACTCCCCAATCCACCACTGCACAACAGGCCAAGGCATTAACAGGGGAGGCTGATTGATAAAGTTAACGCAGAGGTCCAGGATTACAGAGGGCTGTTGTATAACAGCATCACATACTGCGATATCATGTGAATCCATGCAGTAAAGGAACACTATTTGCAAGCAAGTGGAAAACAGTCACAGGAAAAAGCAGTGAAAAAGATGGGTTAAACATAAGCAGTTGAACAGGGTTCCTGATTTTTATCTGGCCACATAAACCCAAACAATCTTAAAATTGTTGTCCTTAGGCAGTAAGCAGATTTGAGATTTTGTCTTAAAACTCATCCACTTCCACTTAAAACCCATTGCTCTCCACCATGCTTGAAACAGCCAATGAAGAGGCGTGATGGCCACTACTTGTACTGTGCCTTCTCTTTCCTATCCGGACTCTGTCAAGCAGCAGCCCATATTTTCACTAGCTGCTGGAGGCCTCCATCCACTTGCTATCTGCAGCAAAAACCAAAAGGACAGCAGCAAACCTGTAAATCCTAACCAAGAGAATAGGTGTCTGGAACAGGTGGCAGGGGCTGCAACCGTGAGGACAGACAGACTGACAACCAGACAGACAGACAGCAGCACCATCAGACACCATCCATTACTTCTAGTCTCAGAAGAGGGGAAGCCTGCAGCACCAGGGATATCATTCTTCCACTAGGGACAGGCAGCAGATTAATGAGGGCTCTGCCTCCCTGAAGCCAGCAGGCTTAAAGTATTTGTTTTTTGGATGAGAAGGAGCAGAGAATTCAGAAACCTGCTGCTCTTTATAGAATAGGCCAGCTCCAGCCTTCTGAGTTAACAGCTTTTTTTTTTTTTTCCTGAGTCTATAATGAAAGGGCAGGAATGACTGGATTTCTACTATTTTGCTGTGGCCTGACTCCCACATCTCTCCTTCAATATATCCCTCCCCACTTGAGGAGGCAGTTGCACTGGCTGGAGACCCATCCATCTGTGAATGCAGCCTCCCTCCATTCCTTTCCTTTGAGGCATTACTGCACAGAGGGGAAGCAGCATCCTTGGCAGCATCTTCTCTTTAAGAGACATCCTAGGAGCTGGAAGAGAGGCCAAGCTGGGTGTACACTGTGCCTGGGTGACACCCCTGCTCCCTACCTACCCTTCTTTACAATCAGACAACTCCATATGCAACAGGTTCCCTTTGGTTCTTCATGTCAAATTGCCTGCCCCCAGATACATCTTTTAGCTAAGCAGAGGACACCAAAAAAATCAGTCCCAGTCAGGGTCTCTAAATTCCCCTAGCCCTGAATATAAAACTTTCCCGAATGCATGCAGACTTCCCAAGGGAAGGCAGCATTAAGTCCCTTTCAGCTGCACTCTAGGGGTGATGCTAAGGAGCGAGGAAAGCCCAATCCCTATGCCAGTACCTTGTAAGCAGCCTTGTTTGAGGCCAGCAGCAGCAGACAGTGTCACACACTCCTGCACCACTAGAAACCTCCCCAGGAAAATGGGGCACCAGGCAGAGATCCCCTGAAGGGTTCACAGGTTCTAAAGAAGGCAGGATATGTACAAATATTCAATCCCTTATTGGGCTGCTTCCTTCAGGAATTATCAGGCCCCAGAGGTCTCTTGGAAACCAGTAGTGGGGAATCTCTATTTTATTCAGGCCAGAGTCCCTGTCAGCTTCTGGCATTATTGAAAACTTTGTGTTGCCAATGGCAATATATATAGGTAAGAAAATTTGTCTTCACACAGGTAGTCTGTGTAGAATGAATAAAAGGTTAAAGAGAAGCTGGGGAGCAGGTTACCAAAGATGGCAACTGCCCAAAACAAGACCCAACCTTGATCTGTGAAATGAATGAGTAGCAAAATGAACACTAAAAATAAGCATTTTTATTATATAAATACCTGCACCCTTTTCTGGGGTAACTCTGACCTGCTAAACAACTCCAAAAGAGAAGAGGAGCTGTCCTCAGCACCTCAGCACCTCTTCATCCCACCCCACCCCCTTCCTTCTTCATCCTCTGGCCCCTAACCTGCTCCCAATCCAGGGCCCTTCCACTTAGGTGGGATCAGTTCCTCTCAGCTTCTGCATATCCCACTACCCAGGTGGCCCCTGTTCACCCAACCTTCCTGGGCACCAGTCCCAAGCCATTCTCTCCCAGCTCCTAGGTTCCTGCCTTAGTCGCTTTCTCCCCTTCCTCAGGTCCCCCTAACCTCTTCCCTGGTCAAGCCAGGGCCCCTGGCCTCAAGACTGACACCTCCGCCCAGCACCCAGCACCCTCGCCCGCCCCTCCCCCACACTCAGCCTAGAGGACTGGGTGAGTGAGTGGTGAATGGACGGATGGAGGCACAGAGGCACGGAGGGATGGATGGCGCGGCTGGGGGTGGCTTACTTGAGCATGGCTTCTTCTTTTTCCTCCTCTTCCTTCTGCCGGTCCATCACTGCCATGATAATGTTCCTCTCTTCCTCGGTCAGGTGGCTCAGGTCGGGCAGCTCTTGCATGGGGGGAGGCACCGTGGGTGGGCGAGGACCGCGGGGCCCCACGGTCGAGGACATTTTCGTGGCCTGCCCGCCCCCTCCGCTCGCTCTCTCGCTCTCACCTTTCGGGGATTCACGCCCAGCAGCTGCGCCCCTGCTTTCCCCTCACAGCGGAGCCCTCCCGGCGGCGGCAGCAGGAGGAGGAGCAGCGGCAGCGGCAGTGGCAGCAGCAGAGCCGGGGAGAGCGAGAACCCAGTCTTTCATGGTTGTTTGCATCCACCCAGCCCCGGATGCTGCCTTTGTTTTGGTCGCCCTGGCGAGGCTAGGGGCCGCCCGGCCGCCTCCCGCAGCCCAACCTCGGCCGGCGGGGGCGGGCAGGCGGAGGCGCCGCGGGCGCGGCGAGGGGGCGAGGGCTCCGCCAGGCTACGCCGATCCGGGCGTCTCCGGCTGGGCTCGCGGGGCGGGGGCGGGGCTGGGGCTGGGGCTGGGGCTGGGACGGCCGCCGCCGAGGCTGCTCTCAGGCTCCACTGCCTCCAGTTTGGGGCTGCGGGAGGGAGAGGGAGTTTGGGTGTCAGTTAGGCGGAGTCTCGGAGGCTTTGCTCCCGGGTGATGCCGCTGCTCTCGCAGACATAGCTGCCAGCCACTCAGTCCCCGTGCCGCTCCGCCCACCGGCACCCACCCGCCCTCTCCCCAGGTCCGAGCCACGCGTGCCCCAGCAGCTCCCCCCACGCTCGCCAACGTGCACACCACCTCGCTCTATCCCCAGGTACCCCTCACCCATGAGTCATCATCCCTTGTCTTCCTCCCCAGCCCTATTTTTCCATGGGTTGCATTAATCATCATCATCCTCGCTACCATCTTCATCATAGAGCATTAGTATTATTTGAGCACCCCCAGTGTTCCGAATAGCAGAATGGAACACCCTCTGGACTCATTTTTTTTCTTCCTTCCACCATATCTTTCTCATTTACTAGTCAAGTGTTTACAGCGACAGCAACGTGATTTTCTAGATGATTTTGGAACACATACACCTCCAACAGCCTGGGTTTTATGAGTTTATTGTACTTTAGGACGCAGTGTCTTTCTTGACCCATTCTCACTAGGACTCTTTTGCACTGTATCCTAATTTCACCTGAAGATGCCCCACAACATCGTGCCTCTAATATCCCATCTGGTGCTCAAGTTAGCCCCATCACAACGCATAATTGCAACTTCTTTGATGCTTGTACATGGATTATCTACTCTAATTCCTTTAATGATGCTCACTATTATCTCATACTCACTTCTGAGCCTCAGTAGGTCCTTCTCAAGAAACAATGATCCCAGATAAGAAAAACACCCAACCGTATTCTTTTGTATTTAAGAAGCTTCTGTTCAATGCCTGGCACAGTGATAGGCATTATAATGGTATGAGGTCTTTTTGCTTTGATAAAGGCAAAATGAATAGGCAACCCTTTCAAAATAGGCAATGTTATAATCTTTGAAACGTGGAGACTGAATTTTGTTAATATAATTGTAAAAAAAGTCAATGAGAAGGGTTCAAATTCAACTATTTTTTTGTGAGGATCTCTTAGCAATGGTGATGAGAGAACTGAGATGTTTCTCTCCCAGGAATTCTCTTTATAGTTCCAGAAGGGAGTTAGTAGCCCTAGTTTCTTGTTGTTGTTTTCTGAGGCAAATAACTTTGTTAAAAAACTGATGATAATAATGAGAAATTTATGAATAAAATCTTCAAGTTTAAGGAACTCGAAAGTTTAGTTGAACTTCCTTTAAATGCAGGAGTTTCTTTGATATAGACACATCTATCTTAATACTGTTGGTAATGGAAAGCTTATTACCTCTTAATTTCATTCCATTTCTAAATCCCTCTTCTAACTGAAACTCTTCCTCTTTTAGAAACAATAATCAATTCATCTTCATTCTTCTCCAGAGTAAACTTTCCAACTTTATCCAGCCGGTTAAATGTATAGTGCATTTCAAAGACTGGTCATTCTTGTCTGGTTCTGGGCACTTCCAAATTTTTTCTCTAGCCTTACAAAACAGGCATCAAAAATCCACAGAACCAAGAAAAATGCTTGATTTTTAGTAAGTGCTCATCAATTATTTTTATTTACAAAACTTAATATTAGCCTAACTTTTTGGTGGTCATGTCACTTATGAAAATGTCATAGAAATAAACATATAGTACACTAAAATTTCCAGTTATTTTTCATAAGTGCTTCGATCAAGATTTTCTCTGTTCTCTAATTAAGTAATTGATGAAAACACTCCACTCAGCATCTTTTAATTTTTAAAAAATTGCACTTGCCTTCTTCAGTCCAATGTATATTCAGGGAGGAAAAACACTGAGTTGAAATTCTGGCTCTGCCCATGATTTTATGATTTTGGCCAGAACACTTAAGTTTTCTACACCTCTGTTTTTTCATCTATGAAATGGGAATGATATCCCTTTCAAAATAAAAAGAGATTAAATAAGAAGTTTCTAGCTGTGTGTAAAACACTTTGTAGTGCTTTTTTTTTTTTTTTCTTATTTCTGACTCTAAGAATTGTGTTGGGGCATTTCTCAATTATTAGCACACAGAAAGTAGTAGAAATGTAGACAGTATATTCATTCTGCCAGATGCTTGGCTCTCTGGTAGTCAATGTGGAAATGAAAACATGAGACAGGCGAAACCTTTGTTCTCAAGAGGTTTACAATCAGATTGATTCCCATGAAATTCTTCTAAAACAAAACTAAAGGAACTATAAAGACTTAGTATATATTAGAACTGAGTAAACCCCTTGAAGGCAAGGACCTAATGAACAATTAACAGGGCTGCTTTAATTTTCTTTGATTGTCATAATGAAGTACCACAGATGGGGTGGTTTATCTAACAAATTTATTTTCTCAGAGTTCTAGATTGTAACAATTCAAGATCAAGGTAACAACAGGTTTGATTTCTCCTGAGGCCTCTCTATTAGGCTTGCAGATGTTCCCTTCCTGATGTGTCCTCACATGACCTTTCCTGTGTGCATGAGGAAACATAGTATCTCCCCCTCTACTTATAAGGACTCCAGTCCTATAGACAAGGACCTCACCTTTATAACCTCATTTAACCTTATATACTTCTTTGTTTTGGATCCCATGTCCAAATACAGTCATATTCCAAGCATTGGCAGTTAAGACTTCAATATATGAATTTTTTGTGAAACTAATGGTTTCCCTTTATTAGAGTTACTTTTATGGGGTAATTATGTACATGCATTATCTGTATGACAATGAAAAGAAATCTATTTCTCAATAAGTTTATACCTACTTCCCTGGGCTATGTACACACACAAATGTAATATCACTGAATGAATAAATGAATAAATGAATATGTGCTGATTATAAATTAGTGGATGCCTTGGTACAGACTATCAGTGTTTCCCCTTCTGTCAGAAATCCCTCTTGTTTCTTTAGGGATTCAAAACCAATTTCTAAAACCCAAGAAAGGATTTTTTACAAATTTGCCTTCAGAAAATTGCCTGCACTTAGAAAAGCATATACCAGAGTATAGCTCCTGGAGATACTCTCCAAAAACTGTTCAGTGAACTTGGGAAAATGTGCACAATACCTTTCTCCTAGAAACTCTCAAGACACATTAACAAATAAAAAGTGCTAAGAAACAATCATTTACTGTAGTAAAGGAATCTGTTTTATGTGACTTAGTCTCCTCTTTACCAAATGTATTGGACCACAGAACTATGTTTTGGGGGGGAAACATGCCTCTGACAAGTTTTGGGGAAAAACATGACAAACAGGCCTAATATCCAAAGATGTTAACTAGAGGAACTGGAAACTTCTAATGAAATTCTGCTTGCTTGATCAATGATGTTAGTAGGAAAAAATATCTCTATTCATATGTATCAAATGCCTCAAAAATCAACATTCACATAATGTTTAGGACACTAGTCAGAAACTATGACATAGACAAAGTACCTAACAGGTACGATTTTTAGTTCCTCTTATTTCCACTGACACTCTCAAATCATCATTTCTCAAAATAACTCTAAAATAGGACACCAGTATAACCTTTTAATTTAATTTAATAACTGAGGTCATAACTGTAGAGTACTGCTGAAAAGCTATCAGGTGCAAATTCTCACGCTACAATTTGGTAGCAATAGTAGGCTGAATGTTATCCCTCCTAAAACGTGGCCAAAGGAAAACTGAAATTGTGACTTTATTTGGGAAAGGATCTTTACAGATGAAAAGAGGTCATGTTGGATTAAGGCAGGCCATAAACCCAATGAGTGGTGTCCTTATAAAAGGAGAGGACACAGACTCACAGAGAAGAAGGCAATATGTGAAAACACAGAGAGAGACGCATGGGGAGAAAAATGGAGGCAGCTGGAGTTGTGCTGCCACAAGTCTAGCAATGTCAAGTGCCATCAAAAACCAGAAGAAGTAAGATATGGCTAACCCATAGACTTCAGAGAGAGCATGGCCTGGGTGATTTTTTTTTAACCTAGTTCCTACAACTATAAGAGAATAAATTTCTGTTGTTTCAAGCCATGTGGTTTGTGGTACTCATAGCCCTAGGAAATTAATACAAGAGATATATCAGTTTGGGTGAATTAGTAAACTTCCCTGGGACTTCTTTTGCTTGTCTATAAAATAGATAGAATAATATCTATCAGAATTTAAGTAAGAATGAAATATCATGAATATGTGCACAGTACCTGGCACATGAAAAGAACTCCATACATTCAGTATGTATGTATTTTTTACTGGGCACCTGCTTTGTGCTGGGTGCTAAGATTATGGTAGGGAGCAAATCATATTAAAGTAATGGCCGTGATGAGAATTGCCAAACTATGGCCAGTAAGACCAGTGCAGTCAACTGCCTGTTTTGTTTTTTTGATTTTTTTGAAAATAGACAATTTGTTGCTAAAAGCTTAAAGTATTTACTATCTGACTCTTTAGAGGAAAAAAAAATAGTGTGTCAATTCTTGCTCTAGATGTTACACTGCTATTGGAGGAGATAGACATAAATAACACTCAACCATTAGTGTATGTAATTACTCTAGAAAATAACTTTCCAGGTATCATAGAGAGGAACTGCAGTAAAATAGATAGTCCTGAAAGTTCTAAGAAGGGGTCCTGTGACCAAATATTTGAAGGATGATGGAACTAGCTTAAGAAGAGCTCACCACACAGTGTTATAAATGGAGAAAAGTTCTAGAAACAAGCCTGAGTCAGGAAAGGGTAGCATCCTGGAGGAGCAGAAAGTAGGGCAATGAGGCCAAATTATTGTGAGGAGAGGAGAAAATAGCTGGAGATGAGCTCATATGGGTCCAAACAAGTCAGGACAAGAAGGGCTATTTTGTCTTTGTGCAATGAGAAGCCACTGAAGAGCTTAAGC